GATGGCATATTTATTTTATAATCAAAAAAATATTTTTTTACCTTCGCGTATTTTAATTTAATCAGCTGTCAAGACAAATCGGATAGTTTAGGTAACAGTTAGGTTAGGTTAGGTGCTCTCAGATCACGCATATTTGTCGTATCATCGCGACTGTATCTTTCAAGGATGGTGCTCTCGTTCACAGGATTACCTTCTTCGAAACGACTACTGTTGCTCTTCTTACAATGGTCGCTATGTAAGTCATCCACTGAAAAACTATCGAAACTATCTCGCAAGTGTGGAATCAATTTTCGAACGTGGTTTCGTTGTTATCAAAGCATGTCATAAAGTATCATTACATTATACACTCATTGCAATAACAGTTAATTATTATTAGATTTAAAAACGTTTGAAATTTATAAAATTTTATAAACTTGGAAGAAAAATCGCATCTTCTAATTTATCAGATTAATTAGTATTTTATATTTATTAATTCAATATTTAAAAAATTATACAATTAGAAATATGTTGATAAAATTCCAAAAAAATATTTATATTCCAGAGGCGCATAATTATTGATTATGCTGGTATATAGAAAAGAAAAATGTAATGAATGTAATGTTCTTCGATCGTAATAAGGCGGAAGTGGTCATGTTGCACATGCGCTTGCTCGTCCGAGCGCGACGAAGACATGCGCGGTCCTTTTCGGAGAATAATTACATTTATTAAAGCATTAATCATTGGATCACGCTGTGTTCGGAATAGCGTGATTGCATGTTCCTGCTATGTACCGTTTTCAGGTTGAATTGGCTGCCCACTCGTTACTTGTTAAGAGTCATCGTAGGCGCGCGGTTCTCCGTTATCTTTTGAATCCATTCCAAGAATTTTCTTTTCGACGCGTATCCCTTCATCTGATTGTTCATTTTCTTGAGTACGTTTCTCTCTAGCAGCCTCTCCAAATTCAATTTGATCTTTATCAAACTCAATTCGCATATTTAATTCACATTCTTTTCAATAAATATAAAAGAAATATCATTGATTCCTCATCATTCCAGGTCATCGCACAATGGTGAGCAAACTCTGGTGCCAAGAGATTGGTCACAGGTGGAGACAAGCGGCCAAACAGGAGCCACCACAGGCGCGTGTGCTGTCCGAACCAAAGTGCCAGTCGTACGTGGCCATCTGGTATCTGTACTACCGTTGGATCATCTTCGTCGTCTGGGCCGCTTTTGTCATATGTTCAGTGTTTGAATTTGGCAGTTATAAACCACTAATGCAGTATGAGAAATGGCCAATCTATCTGACCAACTGGGACATAGCTCTGGGCTTTATACAAGCGCTGATTGGTGGTATCCTTGTGTCGAAGCGATGGCAATTGCAGAAGATATCCGGCTTTGATCCTTGCAATCTCAAATTGGAATCCACTGAGCGGCTGTATTGGTTTCTATACGTTGTCACGACCAACATGGCAATTGGCGTGACGGTATGCTACTGGCTCGCCGTATATAATCCAGCGATTCATCAGATGGATCCGCTCAATATCATGATGCACGTGTGTAACAGCGTGCTGATGCTGATTGATCTATTTGTTACTAACATACCATTCCGTCTGCGAAACTTCTGGTGGTGCCTATCGATCGTTATGTTCTATGTAATCTTCTCAGTGATTTACTATCTTGCTGGCGGCCTTGACAAATATGGTTGTCACTACATCTACAAAATCCTTGATTGGAAGAAGCCGATGCGGACGTCACTCGTTTGTATTGGCGGTTTCACATTCGTGACGGTGCTGCATTGCATCACTTGTTTGTTGGCGAACATCAGAGACCGGATCTATCGCAAGATCGAGAAAATCAACAAATCCGTGCAGATAAATATGACGAATGATAAACCGCTTCCAGAAAAACCAACGGAAGTAGTTTAATCATTAAAAATTTATTTAGAAATATTTGTTATAAATATCCTCAGCACGTAAGGTCCCAAAGCATGGAACAATTTAATATTCGGTAAGTTGAAATGAAACGTGTTTTCTTGACATAATTGCGTCTGCGAATAGAGTTTTTCTGGCGTTACTATTCAACTTGCTTGTAAAAATGAGAAAATATTAATAGGAAGTTAACAGTGATATATACAACTTTGAGTTTCGTCCTTAGCAATATTTCTAGTAAATAATAATATAATTGCTAACGATCAATTAGTATAGATATCTCTGATTAGAGGTGGGCGATACAGTGTCGATATTTTAAATATATTGATAAAATATTTATAGACTTTTTTTTGTTATTTTGTATCGATATTTCATGTATATCGATATTTGAAAAGGAAGACTTCCGACACGGTCCGTTAAGCCCATATTAATTTAATACGAATTGAGATTGGATTGAAACTTTCATTATTTATATTTATTTTATATATATATAGACAGACAGATAGACAGAGAGAGAGAGAGAGAGAGAGAGTAAAAAGACTTCTTATAATGCAAGATTAAAATCATATAATTAATAAAATAAAATGTATAAGTATATAATATATATAATATATATATGAAATAAAAAGTAAAATGTAA